GAAAGAGTAATTTGAAGAATAGAGGTTAAAATGTGAAAAAATACAGGTGAACAATAAACATTTTTTTAAGAAAGTATAAAGAGGCAACATTAAAATTCGATGATGGAATAGTGATCACCTTGAATGAATATATTCCTTCAACAATATTCCTGATATGCATTCTGACTTTTTAGAAGCACACCATATATAATATAAAGGAGAGAAGAGGTGGACATCATACTCTTTGAGACCTAGCCTTAAATTGGACTTTAAAAACTATTTTTAAATTATTCATTTATTTTTGAATAGTAGTGCATGTCTATCATAGCATAAAATTCAAATAGGTAAAAAAAAAAAAAAAAAAAGATACAGTTAAAAGTAAGTCTCCCTTCTTACCCTGTTTCAGGCAGATAATTCCCTCTGGAGAGGCAACCACTGGTTTCTTGTATATGCTTCCTGAAATACTGTATGCATTCACAAGCATATATGCAAATAGTCTTCCTTTTTATTGAATAAATGCATACGTTTTCCACCTTGCTTTTTTTCACTTCATATACTTTAGAAGTATGTATAGAGCTGCCTCACTCTTTAACAGCTATGTAGTATTTCATTGTATAGTATAGCATAATTTCTCTACCAGTCTTCTACTGATGAGTATTGTAAGTTACTTACAATATTTTGTTATTCTAAACAATGTTGCAGTGAAATCTTTATGCTTATGTCATTTTGAACATTTGCAGGTATAATAACTCCTAGAACTAGAATTGTTGAGTCAAAGGATATTTGCATTTTTTATTTTGATAAATATTGAGAGTTTGCTCTTGACAGAGGCTGTGCCAGTTATGCTCCAACAGCAAAATGTGATTGTTTTTCAGTGTCCTCGTTATCATAGCATGTTATCAAACTTTCTGATCCTTGACAATCTAAGTGAAAAATAGTAGTTTATTGTTGTTTTAGTTTGCATTTCTATCATTATAAGTGAGGTTGTAGATTTTGCATTTTCTTTCTGTGAGCTGGCTGTTCATATCTTTGTCCATTCTTCTGTTGGGATGTTGGTCTTTTCCTTATTGATTTCTAGGAGACTTTTAAACATTAAAGAATTAATTATTTGTCTAAATATGAGTTTCAGATATTTTTTCCCACACTATCGTTTGATTTTGTAGTGGTGGCCTTTTTTTGGTGGGGGTAGGCAGACTTCTGCTTTTAATTTTGTTATTTTTATGTAGACAAGTGTATCGATCTTTTATGTCTTCTGGGTTTGGGGTTATATTTTAAAAGGCTACTCTGCTATAAGATCATCTTTAAAAATCCTTTTTTTTTCTTTCTTGATTTATGTGTTTAAATCTTTTTATTTGTTTGTTTGTTTTTGGTGAGGAAGATTGGCCCTGAGCTAACATCTGCACCAATCTTCCTCTATTTTATATGTGGGATGCCACCACAGCGTGGCTTGACAAGCGGTGTGCGGGGATCCGAACCTGCAAACCCTAGGTCTTCAAAGCAGGGTACGTGAACTTAACCACTACGCCACTGGGCTGCCCCCTATATGTTTAAATCTTCTATTCATTTAAAACTTAGTTTGGTGTAGGAATCCAACTTTAATATTGTACATCAAAATGAACCAGTTGATAATGGACCTGGTTAGTTAGCTACATGAGCCCTGGCTGATGAGCTACATGAGAATCATCCCCAACTCCCCATAGACTTCTTATATTTTATTTCCCCAGAGCATGTTATGGTGCGTGAAACAAAGTGAGTGGCTAATAAACCTTTGATAAACTAAATTGAAAGGAAATTTCTAGCTAGGATATGTCATCTTTGTTATTTGCCATTGTTTTGGTGTGTAGTATTGAAAGAGATGATGATACCATTAACACGGTTGATTTCTCCTGCACAAAACCTTAGAATCATGAAATTTTAGATCCAGAGACTAGAACAATTATTCACTCAACAAATAAATAATGAGTTCCTATCACTTACAGGCATTCTACTTGGGGACAGGGAGACAATAAACAAATATGTCACTCGGTGTAAGTGCTGTGAATCAAAATGGAGCAGTGTACCTGCAATAGAGAATGACAGGGAGTGGAGAGCTTCAGGGATGCACACTGCCCAGGTCGTGAAGGACATTGACAATTGAATTGTCTCTACTTCATATGAGCACATGTCCAAACAAAGAAATTGAAAGGTAGTGGGGGTTAAGCCCCGGGAGAGAGTGATAAGTATCCCTAGGGAGTTGAAAGGAGAATCTGTTGTCTCTGTCTAGGTCCATGTTATCTTTAGATTAGATTGTAAACTAGTGGGCAGGACTATACTTCTTAGGTTAATTTTGTTATAAACATTATGCACACTTAGATTGACATGAGTGTTCTTTAAGGAAATTGATAAATTTGTCGTTCTGATAAGAAGCTAAGGTCATTTTATGCAATTAAAGCCAAAATTATATTCTGCCCTTGGACATGTCAGCCATGGCAGTCCTCCCTGCTGGTGGAAGTCTGGTCAATATTTCTTGAAGTAATTTTCAAACAATGCTCAAAGAAATCTCAGGGGAAAAGGCAGAAGGAACCAGTAGAAACACTTGGGGTACTGCTACCTTATACTCTCAACAAGAGTTGCTCTGCTTTTATCTTTTATTTCTTCTTATCTTCCAGGAAAGATTACATTTTGAAGTAATTTGAAACCAAAAAGTATACATCACTCTGACTATGAGACCCACCATGTGTGCATGGAAGTGAGAAGCCACTTTTAGGAGCATATCACTAGATATGGTTTAATTCCATTTAGACATAGAGATGACTGCCTGAAAGAGCTGAAAGTTGAAAATTCCCTAGTGGAAACCCATTGATTAGGATAGGGACCCGTTTAATGTGTGCAGCATTTTTGCAGATATGATGGTTGTGTGGAGAATGAGTGAATCTGCCAAAACTTCCTAGTTGCTGAGCTATATTTTGCCAGAATTAACAAGAATTCTGAAGCTCCGTGTTAGGAGAATAGCATATTCTCTCAGCATATTGGTGTCAGAATCAGATTTAATCAGCATTTCTAACATCTTGATTTATTCTTATTTCTTCCTATATGCTGCAAGAGGGTACTTACTAGTACCAAAATTGGGGGTAGAGGGTTATACATTTATTTTTGAAGAATCTGTCTTGATATTTTAGCTAAAAAAAAAATTATTATTGAGGTATTTTATTGCATGCAAATCAGGACTAAATTTCACATAAATCAGAATCAATTTATATAGTGTTATCACTCACTGAGCTTATTTCAATAATGAAGAATATAAATTGCTGAACATATCCTCTTCTAAAATGCTATCACTTGCACATAGGTTGCAATATCAGAACTATTTTTTTAATTTTGGAGGTTATCTATTAAAATTTGTTAGTATGTAGTGAAAATCAGGAAAAAACTACATACTTTAGAAAAAGGTTTTCAGAGATCTAGGATTCCTATGTGACACAGAGCTCATATATTTGGATCTCCTAATGCTTGGCATATAGTAGGTACTCAGTACATATTCACTGAAGTAGATTTATTCAAAATTTAATAACTTTATTACTTGCGGTTAAAAATCACATACAAAGCAAGGAAATGCATTCAAAGACTTCAGATAAGGGAAATTACAGTCTGGAAATATCAACATTTACTAATCAAAATTATCTTTTGGATAAGACATAAGGATCTAATATAATTTGGGGACTCCACCGCTTCTAAAATAAAGTTTTCATTTTCTTGCAGCTTCCTGAAATATCTTCATCTGGAAAAACATGGCTGCCATTGGTTCAATTTCTTGATTTGCCAGCCATGTGACCTTGGACAAGTCTGTTTCTTCATTTGTAATGAGGATAGTAGTAATAGTTCCTCTGCAAGTTTGTTGTGAAATTAAATGAAATAATGTTTATAAAATGCCTGATCCATAGTGTTCAACAAAATATAATTTTATTAATATAATACTATGTCCTTCCATTTAATCCTTAGGGATACAATTTAAAATGCAAATAATGCTTATGTCAAAGATAGTCTATCTTTGGGGCCGGCCCGGTGGCTTAGCTGTTAAGTGCGTGCGCTCCGCTACTGGCGGCCCGGGTTCGGGTCCTGGGCGCGCACCGACGCACCGCTTCTCCAGCCGTGCTGAGGCCGCCTCCCACATACAGCAACTAGAAGGATGTGCAAGTATGACATACAACTATCTACTGGGGCTTTGGGGGAGAAAAAAAGGAGGAGGATTGGCAATAGATGTTAGCTCAGAGCCGGTCTTCCTCAGCAAAAAGAAGAGGATTAGCACGGATGTTAGCTCAGGGCTGATCTCCCTCACAAAAAAAAAGATAGTCTATCTTAAAGTTTAAGTGATAGCAGATTGTTTCCATTTTTCAACTGGAGAGAAGGGATTAACCAAGCAAGTGGTCATTTAACACTTGAAATATCAAAAATTGAAAAGGCTAAGAAAATCTATGCTCTGAGACCAAGGAAGACACTATTAAACTCTACTAACCTTCAATGGTTAGAGGCCCCCCTACTCCCATCCCCAAGAGAAAAGAGTTTTATCCAAAAGAACAGGTGTTAACAGCAATGCTTCTGCTGATTTATAGAGGTTTTTTTTTAAATCAAATTGAATTTTATTATAAAGATCTTGATTCACTGGGGATCCAGTAATTCAGACACCAGCACATTTTACAATAAAAGACAAAGGATGACATATATAGACTCATAGTGCTCGTAGTTGTTAAGGACATGATAATTTCTGCAGTGGACTTAATTACAGTTTTTAAAAATGATTTTGATACACTCTTTACAAGATAACTCAAGCTGGATCTAGACCTAAAGTCTTAAAGCTTTTAGGATCCAACTACCTGTTTTACAATAGAACTCAGTGTCTGTGATTTGCCATAATGCAAATGTCCTTTTGACTCTCAGATCATGTTCTTGTCACTCTGCTGCCTTCCTACCTATGTGGCATTGAAATTTTCATTTTATTTCTAACTACAGGAAACAGTTGTGTATTGTTAAAAGAGTTTGTTTTAATATGTCTTTTTCCTTTAGAGTCTTCAGATGGATTTTAAAATTGAACATACTTGGGATGGTTTTCCAGTGAAGCATGAGCCAGTGTTTGTCAGGCTGAACCCAGGTGACAGAGGAGTGATGATGGAAGTTAGTGCTCCATTTTTCAATGACCCTCCAGCTCCACTTGGAGAACCAGGAAAGCCTTTCAATGAACTGTGGGATTATGAAGGTAAGTGGAAGGACTGTATTTTATTGCAAACATAAATCTTTTTATAATAACCTCTCATAGAACTATTATTTTATCTTGCTTTAGGAAGTGAGTGCTTCTGAGCAACTGACATGTGCAGTTTCTGATATTTCCTACGAATCTCTCATTCTGACTTTTTCACCATTACCTACGTGTCTTCAACTATATAACTAGAACAGTGAAAAATGGCAATTACAATTCCAGACTTCTAAATTACTGCCATATTTCCTTCCTTTACTTCTGTTACCTATTTTAAGAAGAGTTCAGCATTCCTGCTTTGTCTTTAAGTATCTTAAAATTGCCACTTTAACCTTATAAACCTACTTTATGGAAGTTTTGGGGTATTTTACTTATTATAGAAACACCATCAACTTCAACATGAAATGTAGTTTTTATTTTATACTGGGAAGTAATCTCACATATCAAAGGAAGGCTGAAAGACATGCCATGAAATTACACTGTTTCAGGTTTGCTATATGATCTCCTTCTACTGTATCCTAATTAAGCTACCAAATGTATCTTTCTGAAATACTCCTTATGATGCCATTCCCCAGATCACAAACCATTATTATCCCTAAAATAAAGTTCAAACCCTTTCTATAAGTTTTGAGGGTGCTCATGAATTGGGCTATCATATTCAGCCCATTTTCATTTTAGATAGAGCACTCTTTCTTTCTTCAGCCCAAAGCTCTTGACTTGACTTCTTGAAAGGCAAATGGTCTTACTGTCCATGCATATTCTCACCCATGTACTTGCTCTCATTCTATTCCTCTTGCCTCTAATGCACATAGTTAAGATATAATTCAGGTTTCGTTTCTTCAAAGAAACCTTTGATGACTCTTCTAGTCCATACTAACATCTACTTTCTCTAATCCATCTGTATAGCGTGCATTTTGTCAGTGTTAATTTATCATATGTTAAATATATGTTGTCTTTTATTGATACAGAATTTGTGTATACCAGCTTTCTACTGGTGTACACACCAACGTGACTTATCTACCGGGGTTACTACAGACACCAAACTCAACAAGTCCTAAACTCAACTCATCCACTACTCTCACAAGCCTGCTTCTTTTCCTAATTGCCCTATCTCAATCAATGGCCCTATAATACATCCAATCACCAAATATAGAAATGTGAGATCTTTCCAAGGTATCCTTCTTTCTCACTCTTCATATCTGGATTTATTTACTAAGTCCTACGAGCTTCACCTCCTAAATGTTTCTCTAATTCAATACCTCCTCTTCATCCCCCATCCCTGGCATAGATTAGGCCTTCATCATCTTTTACCTGGGCTAGGTCAGAGCCTCCTAAATAGTCTTTTTGCCCTTAAGTCTGTTCTTTGCTTGGAAGCCAGAGTGCTCTATCTAAAATGAAAATTTAAACTCATCATTCAGCTACTGAAAAATCTTCTCAGACTCCCTGTCCTCTCAGGATAAGTTTTACCCTTCTTAATATGATCTCTATATAAGATTTTTCATGACCTGGCCCCTTATTCTCTTTGCAGCATCACTTCTTCCTGCGTTAAAGTTTTACTTAGTAACACTGAACTGCTTGTTTAAATAAAGCACGATATTTCCTAATCATGTGTCTTTGGTTACACTACTCTCTTGCCCTAGAATACCCTTTCCATCATTCTTCTTTACCCAATTCCAACTCGTCTTTCAAGATGGAGCTTAGATAGTACCCTCTCCAGGAATCCTTCCCTAAACTATTTTTTTGAGCTAAGCATCTGTTTTCTTTTTTTCTATGGTAGCAACTCATACATCTCTCCATTTGGATATTCTTATTAAAGTTATCCACTTTAGTGTCTGATTAGATTGTGAGCTCATCAAGTTACTTCCAGAATATGATACAGTGTTTAATACAGAGAAGGTGAAAAAATGATTGTAAGGTGATGATGGAAAATTGTAATCAGAAGATGTATTAGGGTTCTCCAGAGACACAGGACCAATAGAATGTGTGTGTGTGTGTGTGTGTGTGTGTGTGTAGAGAAAGAGAGAGAGGTTTATTTTAAGGAATTGGCTCATGCAATTGTGGAGGCTGGCAAGTCCAAAATCTGCAGGGTAGACCAGCAGGCTAGAGACCTAGGGGAGAGTTGATACTACAGTTTGAGTCGAAAGGTGGTCTGCTGGCAGAATTCCTTCATGCTCAGTGGAGGTCAGTCTTTTTTCTCGTAAGGTCTTCAACCGATTGGATAAGACCAAACCACGTTATGGAGGGTAATCTGCTTTACTAAAAGTCTACTGATTTAAATGTTAATCTCATCTAAAAATAACTTCACAGAAACATCTAGAATAATGTTTGACCAAATATCTGGGTACCATGGCCAAGCTGACACACAAAATTGACCATTGCAGAAGGCATTCTAATTTGTTTAGGTAAAAAACTTAGTGACAATAAGACTCTCTGAATTGTTGATGGAGCTATGTATATATCTTAGATATTTTATTATTATAAAAATCACACATGGAAAACTGGAAACAACGTAAATGTCCATCAATAAAGGATTATATGAATAAATTATGATATTCTATAGAAGAATACTATGCAGTAATTAAAAAGAATTTGGTATCTATGTGCTGGAAACTTTTTTTGTGAAAAAAGCAAGTTGTAGGCAAGTATGAATCCATATTTATTTTTTAAAAATCTATGCAGTTAAAATACATTTTAGAAGCACATAAAAAGGACAGGTTGTAGAGCAAAGAACAGGTTTTAGAGCAAAGTGGGAAGAAAAGGACTTTGACTTTTTACTTCATGTGTGTTAGTATTGTTTTAATCATTTATAATAAGCATGTATTACTTTCATAATTAAACATTTTCTTAAATAACACATGCTCATAAAATTCCAGGAAATTATGAAGAGAAGAAAAATCATCCACCTGTGTTCCATCTATCAGAGATAACCAGTCATAACATTTTTGTGCACATCTTGCAGACATCTAGGCACAGGCACACATGTGCATTTTTATTTCCTGTGTATTTGGTTATTGCTCTGTAGCCTACTCATCAAATATCATGGATATCTTCCCATATCAAAAAATATTTAATTATATATTTGATTTTAATGATTGTGTTGTATTCTGTTGCATGGAATACACAATTCCATAATTTATTTAATAGCTCTCCTATATAATAGAAGGTTTATTTATATAATAGGAGATAACCATTTATTTATTTATTTATTGTGTGTGTGTGTGTGTGTGTGTGTGTGTGTGTGTGTGTGTGTGGAGATCAGCCCTGTGCTAACATCTGCCAATCTTCCTCTTTTTTGCTGAGGAAGACTGGCACTGGGCTAACATCCATGCCCATCTTCCTCCACTTTGTATGGGACGCCACCACAGCATGGCTTGCCAAGCATTGTGTCGGTGCTCGCTCGGGATCCGAACCGGTGAACCCCGGGCCACCGCAGCGGAGTGCGGGCACTTAACCGCTTGTGCCACTGGGCCGGCCCTAGAGATAACCATTTAGATTATTTCCAATTTTTGAGCAATACTTTGATCAATAGCGTTATACTAACTTCTTTTCCAAGTTTGATTATTTCCTTAGGATAAATTCTTAGAAGAAGATGACTGGCTCAAAGTCTGTGTGATAATGTTCATTTCTTTACAACCACACCAGCACTAGACTTTATTAATATTTTTAATTTACGGCAATCTGATATGGGAAAAAGTTGATGATATATTTCCTATGTCTCTCTTCTTCCAGGCAATGTATGTTTATTTTCTTTTTCCCTTTTTATATTGGTGATAGAGTTATAATTAAAAATAATGAGTTAATTCATTTTATATTCTAAAGTAATAAATTATGTTTGAAGCAAAATTAAATTTCTTAATATGTCATATCTCTGTTTTCAAAAGTTGTGGAAGCATTTTTCTTGAATGACCTAACCGAACAGTATTTAGAAGTTGAACTTTGTCCGTAAGTGTAAAGTATTTTTTCTAATTCGTTACTACATAATTTGAACACATAATTTTCTAGTTAGAAATCATATGACCATAGTAAAAGCTCACTAATTCCAACCAACTAGGGGGAATGCTAATCTGAATTAATCTGAATTATATATAATTCCTTATTTTCAAGTAAATGTATAATTTTTAGAATATATTATAAATGTTTGAAAATATTATGTTATTATTTTCAATTCACTAATGTAAGCAGTTTTCTAATAAGTCTAAAGATAATTTTTTTTGCAAAATTAAAAATAATTATAAAATATAAACTCTCATTATTTACTCTATAAATTTGCATTATTATATATTAGCTATTCAGAAATAAAGGGAGACATATAGATATAATGAATTGAACTAGTTTATGAAAATGTTTTTTTTAGGGAATTTTTTTAATGACTAGATTAAACTTTAATTTTATGTATTACATAATTGTGTGTTCATGTGTTCCTTCCTTTATTCGTCATGCATTTATTGAGTGTATACTGTGTCACTTTGTGTTCAGTGCCAGGGATAAAAACTAAATCACATGTGGCTTTTCCTAGACTCATTAAAAATATTAACCTTGGACTCTCTTTGTTCAAATTTAACCAGTCCCTTGGGAACCCTCTTTACCTAGTTGGCAACTTGTTCCTGTAGATGTGGAAAAGTAAATTTATGCCCACCTGTAATTTAAATTATAACAAATTCTAAATTAGTAAAATATTTAATAATGAAATATTTCTTTATAATGCCATTATTCATTTTAAATGACATTTAAATACCTCTCAGTATCTAATATCCTGTAGCCTTTGTCCTTTCGTAGGCTAGGCAGAGAGTCGCAAACAACAAATTTAAATGAGATTTTACATATCATTTTCTTTCCCCTTATTTTGATTTCTTGCTAACCCTGGAGTGGAAAATGTAGCTGTTTGCAATTATGTCTTTCAGAATAATCATATATCTTTGTGTGTCACCTTTCAACTAACATGCCAAAATACTTTATTGAAAACTATGATTAATTCTCTTAAACTGTCATGTGAGGTAAGAAAAGTTCAACTATTATGTGATTACTTTCACCACACAGGTGAGAAAGCTAAGGCAAATAGGTTTATAACTTGTCTAGAAGACAGTGAAGAACTTGTATTTGCTAGAATTCTAAAGTTTCATACTTAGTTTTAATTTTATTAGATGATAGTTTATTTTCATAAAGTGATGACTTAGCACTAGATGAATAGGATAATCAGATTCTCTTTTGTTAAGAAATTATATAATTACCATATGTATAAAATTAACAAATTCTAAAAGTTAAAAAAATCCTCAGAGTAGTTTGGTTTCATATATATAAGGACAGTTAATAATCAAGAATTATGGTTTTGCTTCAGTCAGTCAACTCTTGTAATAGTTAATTAACCTCTAGGAAAGCAAGATGAAGAATATTGTTGTTTTAATTTGCAAGAACTTTTATTCCTCCTAGGATATTCTTAAAGTTGCATACAATAAAAATAAGCAGAGAACTTTTAACTGGAAAAGAATACTTGTCTTCTGTTAGAATAGTTACTGAAGGAAATCCTCCCTGAAAAGCTCACAACAGATCATCTGTGTAGAAATGTTTATATATAGTCTTTTCCAGAGACAACAAATTTGCTTCATATAACAGCTTGAAATCCTTTGATTCTTACTGACCTGGAAAATCCCAATTATACTCTCTTATCAGAGTTTCCTTTTGAGAATATATTGTGTTTCTCTTTGGAAATGTGACATTAGTGTCTGAGCTGATGGTAGAAAGCAGGAAAACACAAGAGACAGACAAGTCAAGGACAGTCTTCAGCCTGTTGACTAGTTTTAGACAATCTATATTTTTATTTTCCATCTTCCTGATGAGCTTCAAGACAGCTTCTTACAGAAATAACCTTTAGAAAAGTTGTTGGATTCAGCCTCGGTAATTGGTGCCTGCTTCCCTTAGGGTACGTTAGTTTTTGAAACTGGTTTTATTATGAACTGCACATACCATGATACTCCCCTGCCCCTTTTTCATGCGTTGTGTCATCTAACCAACTGAAGTATTTTATATAATTTCTTATTTAAAGAATATAAAAACCAATCTGAGGGGCTGGCCCAGTGGCATAGTGGTTAAGTTCACATGCTCTGCTTCTGCAGCCCAGGGTTCACAGGTTCAGATCCTGGGTGAGGACCTACACACTGCTCATCAAGCCATTCTGTGGTAGCGACCCACATACAAAATAGAGGAAGATTGGCTCAGATGTTAGCTCAGGGACAATCTTCCTCAAGCAAAAAGAGGAAGATTGGCAATGGATGTTAGCTCAGGGCCAATCTTCTTCACTAAAAAAAGAAAAAAAAAAAGCAATCTGACCATGTGTAGCTTTATGCATTTGATTGCGGTTGTCTGGAAAATGGTAAACTCAAAGACGTCCTTTCTAAGTAACTGAACACACTGGCTCTCCTTATAATTATCCAATAGTAATATCACATATTTTAATTATTTGGCAATTTAATTACAAGCACACACATTGCAGATATGAAAGATAGTGAAGAAAATAACGTTTGTTTCTTTCAAACACTCATGAGGAATTTTAATTTTGACAGCCATGGACAGCATTTGGTGCTTTTACTCTCTGGAAGAAGAAATGTGTGGAAAGTAAGTAAATGGAAAGATGAGACAAAATCTTTAAGTGTACAAGATATGTATATATATGTGTACAATGTTAAAAGTGTAAACCTGAATATACCTCTTGTGTTTCACGTGTTGTTTCTGTAGCAGGAACTTGCTCTGTCATTCAAAGTGTCCAGAGGAGAGACCAAATGGGAAGGCAAAGCTTGCCTTCCTTGGAGTTATTTTCCACCAAATGTGACAAAATTCAATTCATTTGCAATTCATGGATCAAAAGATAAAAGAAGCTATGAAGCTCTTTACCCTGTACCTCAGCAAGAAGTGCAACAAGGACAAAAGCCTGATTTGTAAGTAGAGAATAAATGAAGATATGTTCCAACTGTAAGAGTTTTTTGGAAATTAATTCTTGATAGAGCAGTAGTAACATTTTTTGGTCAAAGAAGACATATGTGTACAAGCACCTAGCAGAGTCCTATGTTCCCTGATGGTCCTCTGTAAATACTTGACAGACTGACTTTGGACAGACATGGTCTCTCTCACTGCTGCCAATAGAGCACTTCTATTTCCATAGCAGTATGAGAAAAGACTTGCTTAGTGAGTATTGCGACAGCTGGTGTAGAAGTATGGTTGCAAATTCTTTATGAGCCCTCTGCGAGCTAGATGGCCAGAGGCATCCATGTTTCCTGGTGTGAGCGAAGGGTTAATAAATCCTTCCTCCTGCTGCTTGAGAATCTGACCTTCAGTTACCTCTCTAATTCTCTTCTACTGGTAACTTCGTGAACATAAAAATGTCAACTATATTTCTAGGCAATATTGCTTATGCTAAAAATGACCCCTAATTGGTAAATTGCATCTGGACTGAGAGGAATTATGAATAAACTATAAATACCTGGTGGGGCCAGCACAGCCTTGGGATTTCCCTTTGACAGTCATGTTCCCTGTGGGGACCCTGGAAGCTATACCTATGGAGTTATTACAGGAGATGTTGGCTCCTGTGGGGCAGCAGGTATCTAAGCCAAGGGGTCTCCCACAATTTCCCATTTTGAGTCTCATCTCTTTGCACCTGAAGCTGCCACTTAAGGAGTATATAGCTCCTGCCCAGCCTTGTGACTACTTCATGGACTGCTGCAAACGCTCCTCCTTTAGGGAGGAAAGCCAGGTGCTGTCCTGGGGCAAGCTGACATTCCTGCTCTGTATCTCTCCGAGTGTATTCGGTGCTGCCAAGACAGTCTGGTGAGTCTGCATGATTAGAAGAGCCGACAGAGATGTCCTAGTGGGCTTTGCACAGTGGTAGACTGACTTCCTGCCTTTTTAGCCTTGGACGGTGCTACACTGTCCTTTCTCTCCCTGCTAGCCTCCCCTTCCTGTCATGCTCTTACTTCATTCTGCTTTGCCTTCCTCTCTTGTAGCCTGTTCCTTTATTCTGCCTGACACACTTTTCCCTGTGCTTTTCTCCCCAGTCCTGATCCTTTCTGATAGCCTCTTTCTGCCTTCCTTTCTCTTTTCCTTCACTGTTGTTTCCTTAACCTCTTCATCTGGGATTGATGGTTGTGACTCTAAAACTGGTTCAGCTTGGCCAGGTGGGCAGAGTGGGACAGGAATCTAGATGCAACTCACTCAGGGCTTTCATTTGAAGATGGCTTGTTTCTCTGGCTCTTCACCAGCTAATGTTTTCCTGTATTCAATGAGGATACATACATTCTTGGAGGCTTACCCCAGGTAAACGTATGATTATACCATTGGCCAGGGTGGATCCAGGGCAGAGAGATTTCCTAGAGCTGAGTTCCACTGCAGCATGTTAGCTAAGCCTTTCTCTTCTTATTAAGCCACAATAGAAAGCTTCATAATAGTTAAATGGTTTCCCTGGAAAGAAACGAACTAGGTACCTATGTGAGGTTTCTGTTTTTTTTTCTTTTTTATCTTCCATATAAATGGTTACCAGAAGGGAAGGGAGTGGGGGGAGGGCAAAAGGGGTAAAGTGGGCCATTTGTATGGTGACAAATGGAAATTAGACTGTTAGTGGTGAACAAGATGTAGTGTATACAGAAGTCGAAATATAATGATGTCCACCTAAAATTTATATAATATTATAAACCAATGTTACCTCAATTTAAAAAAAAAAGAAAGAAATGCAATCTATGTACTTATGTTTGAAAGCTTAAATGTATTTTATTCAAAATAAGTACTAATATTATTATGGGTCACTTCTGTATTTGATTTCCTTTGTTTACAACATGTTAACAGAAATAAATTTAAATGAAATCTTAAAAAAAAAAGAAAAGAACTAGGATTAACACTCTTACATTAACCTCTCTTGCTTTGGTGAAGGAGTCTATAATTTACGGAGCTGAAACTTTTTAAAACAATTTTTATATGACTGACAAATTGCATCAAAGTTCGAATATAAAAACATCTATAAGATCTTTAACATCTATAAGAGTGTAATATGATTTGTTTAAGGCTAGAAGGAATGAGTCCGGTTTTGAGGGTTGATTTTTATTTCTCCCCCTAGCTGTGAAGGAGCTATTTGTAGAATTGAAAGGAGAGTGCTTTGAGTTGTGAGTGAAAGTTTTCAGAGCTGAATGTTTGATAGCTAGAGTGAGAAAATTCTACACATAGACTACATCTTACCTTAGGTATTCTTAAAATAGAATGTTGTCATATCACAGATGTGCCAAAATAAATAGCCCTTCAGGACAACTATTTCACAAATGCATAATTCATTTCAATTCCCACCTTCTTTTTCTTTATGTGTAGCCATCGCCTGGAATACTTCAAGCCTTTCGATTTTAACTCACTGCTTGGAGAAGAATGGAAACAACCAGAATCAGACCTGTGGCTGATAGAGAAACCTGATATATAGGAGTGTAGTAGATGACCATATCAATCATTTCTTCTCTATACCTTTTAAGGTAAACTAATAATAAGTATAATCTCTTTCAAGATACCATGAACACATTTCAACAACAAATATTTTCATAGAGCTCAGTGAAAATATAGTATCTCTGTGGCAAATTGTGTATGAACAAGAAAATATAAAGTTTGTAGATGATTTTATCTACAAAGTTAAACTGTTTTCTCAGTCACTTAATCTAGGAGCCATCATGTCAATGAGTTCTACTGTATGCCTTGCATCACCGTCACCCCAAATATCCCTGACTCTGTCAACCAAAATCATTATTTCTCTTCCCACGTCCCTAAACCTCAGCCAGCCTGAGGCTGGAACATCTTATTTGCACATTTTTGAGCTCCGTGTAATAGACAATAATTCCTTACTTGGAATCTTCTGTTCATTCTTGAAATGAGTAGAAAACAATGACCTATTTCAGTTGAACAGGACATCTACATCTGTTAAGGCATTATTAAGATACATGTGTTATTTAACCAACAGTTTTTTCAGTCTTATGATTATTTTTACTCTGTAGAAGGAAATGGAATGAAATAGTCTTGAATTCGAGCAACAGATTCTGCTTTTATTTACAAATAAATGACATTTTCTTAATGCTGTTAAACAAGATATCAAAATGTCTTCATTTTATTTTGTAAACATCAAATACTCCTGATCTAGAATTTTCAAATTCTGTGTGATAATATAGTTCAGAGCTTGAAGTTATCTAGTAGATAGATCATCTATGAACTCCTCCACCAAACCTGATCCTTCCACCAGCATTCTTAACTCAGAGATTAGCAGTCTTGCAGAAGAACCTTTGTTACTTGTACAGATACCTAGTTGTCTACCCAACAATATACTTTCTCCTCTCCTTTATGAACAGAACTTGAGTTTTTAGGGGCTCTGCTCAAAAACTACATTTTCCCAGATTCCTTTGCAGATAGAAATGACACTATAAAACAGTTTAAGTCAATGAGCTATAAGTATACAGTGTTAGGTGGGGCTTCCAGAAAAGAGGCTTTAAAGATGAAAGACTCATCTTTCCCTTACCTTTGCTCCTTTGCCCTCCCATCTTCCTTTTTCCTGAGTTGCAGAATTGATATCTGAGGTAACACTAGTTACCTTGTGTCAATGAAGAGACAACCCAGGGATAGCTGAGTAGCAAGACAAAGGACCCTGGGTTCCAAACAGTGCAATAGAGTAATAGTATGTCATGTCTGGACTGCCTGCTTAGAGACTTCTTTAGACAGGAGAAAATAAACTGCCAATTTACTTCCCCAAATTGATCTATAGATTCAATGCAATCCCAATTAAAAGTCCCAGATGGCTTTTTTAGGGTAGAAATTGACAAGAAATTGACAAATTAATTCAAATTTTATATGGAAATGTAAGGATCTCGAATAGCCAAAACAATTTTGAAAAAGAACAAAATTGGAAGACTTACACTACCTCCCTTCAAGACTTAATATTAAGCTTCAGTAATGAAGACAATGTGACCTTGGCATAGATTTAGACAAATATATTAATAAAACAGAATAGAGAAACCAGAAAGAAGACAGTATACAGTCAACTGACTTTTGACGAAGGTGCCAATGTATTTAAAAAGGGAAAGGATAGTCTTTTCAACAAATGGTGTTGGAATAACTGAAAAAACATGAAAAAAACAGAACATTGACCTCTACCTAACAACTTACAGAAAAATTAACCTAAGTGTGACTGGTGAAATGAAAAAAGTTCTAAGAGAAAATCTTCACAATCTGGGGTAGACAAAGATTTTTTTCAAATAGGACATAAAAAGCACTAACTAAAAAGAAAAAAAATGAGAAATTGGACTTCATCAAAAATGAAAATTTCTGTTGATCAAAAGTTTCCATTAAGAAAGTGAAGAGGCGGGCCGGCCCAGTGGCTTAGCGGTTAAGTGCGCACGCTCTGCTACTGGGGGCCCGGGTTTGGATCCCGGGCGGGCACCAACGCACCGCTTCTCCGGCCATGCTGAGGCCGCGTCCCACATACAGCAACTAGAAGGATGTGCAGCTATGACATACAACTATCTACTGGGGCTTTGGGGAAGAAAACAAAGGGGGAGGACTGGCAATAGATGTTAGCTCAGAGCTGGTCTTCCTCAGCAAAAAGAGGAGGATTAGCACGGATGTTAGCTCAGGGCTGATCTCCCTCACAAAAAAAAAAAAAAGTGAAGAGGCAAGCCACAGATAGGAATAAAACATTTAAAATACATGTATCTGACAAAAGACTCTTACTCAGAATATATAAAGAACTCCTACAAATCAGTAATAAAAGGACAAGCCAAATAAGCAGCAAAAGACTTGAACAGATGCTTCACGGAGGAAAATATATGAAAGGCCAATAAGTATATAGAAAGGCTCCCAACCTCACTTACCATCAAGAAAGTGCAAATTAAAACCACAGCAAGATACCACTAAATGACCAAAATTAAAAAATATACATAATGGCTAAATGGCTAAAATTGAAAAAGACCGGCAATACCAAGCATTAATGAGAATGTGGAGTTGCTGGAACTTTCATATGCTATAAGTAGGAATGTAGAATGGTACCATCACTTTGGAAAACTGCTTGGAAATTTCTAATCAAGTTAAATACACACCTACCCTATGATTCTGCAGTTTCCTTCTTAGGTATATACTCAAGAGAAATGAATATTCATAGCAGCTTTATTCATAACAAAGAACTGTAAACAATCAAATTTCCATCCACAGGGGACTGGATAGAGAAACTGTAGATATAGTCAGACAATAGAATACTACTCATAAAAAAGAATGGACTACTGATACATGCAGCAACCCAGATGAATCTCAGAAGCATTGTATTGAGCAAAATAAACCAGATACAACATCCTGTATAATTATTTTTATATGAAGGCCAATTATAGGCAAAACTAGGCTATAGTGGTAAATATCAGAACAATGATTTCTCTGGGTGAGGGCAGGGGATTTAAATTGCCTGGAAACAGGCCATGAGGGAATTTTCTGGGATGGTTGAAGTGTTCTGTGTCTTGATCTGGCTGATGGCTATGTAACTGCATACATTTGTCAACATTCCCCAAGCTGTATATTTAAGATTTGTGATTTTGCTACGTGTAAATTATACCTTAATAAAATACTGTTATAAAATAAGCTGTAAATAAAATGGAGTTAACTTCAAGTTTATATTTTTCCCTCGAACTATCACTAATGCCAGTTAAATACGGCTTATCAACTAACTCTTTTCATTTATTAAATGTGTTCTCTGTCTGAAAAGAGAGCTAGTGTAAGATAAATGCTGGCTTTTACAAAAGGCACTATAAGTATCTTTCTAACTGCATATCATGGTGGCAGTGTTAGGCATCTTAGATAAATTCAGAAAATATTTTAAAAATTGACAATAGCAACTAACTAATTTGCTATGGTAATGATATGCCAGTTTTGGTTAGGAAAGACATATTTAAAATAATCTTGGATGATTTATTTATAAATTACCTAAAATAATTTTATAAATGTATATAAAACTATCCAAAAAAAAAAGATATATTTAGAGTGTCCTGATTTGAGAAGTGAATCAATCATTCTGAATCATAGGTTCAGATATAAATCATAGCTGTTTATGAGGAAAGAGTAAAGCACAAATATTCTAGATACGTTCACAACCATATAAAATATTGAATTTGAATGTTGTGGTTTGTGAACTTTCTAAAACCTAATATGTATCTTCTTTTTATCTATTTAGATGTTTTTAAAACATCTCTTAACTTTCTTTTATCTAGATAAGAAATGTTTTCCTTCTTCCAATAAC